TTGTCTTTAAGCTCTTCATCCATTCATCCAAATTAGGCCTTAACATGCTTGAATTGCATGAATTATGCTCTCTAAAGCCATCATTATTACCTAAAGCTCAATGAACTGAAAGATAAACACAAAAAGGATTAAAAGCACAAGTTTAACTCAAAAACATAACCAAATCATAAGCTAGAAGGGTACAAAATGATATACAATTATGAACCGATCACTTGCCTTTGAGAGCTATTAAAGATCAATAACACATCACAGCACAACCATGATGCCTTAGGTCTAAGGACTAATTTGCATTATTGCAACTATGAGTTCTCGTTTGACATGTAGATAAAACTCTATACAAGAACTACAGTTAATTACGTTCAGTGTACTCATTCACTAATGAGCACCCACATATTAGTGTTAACTACACAAATGGTTTGAGACTAACCATCCTCTTTATTGAGCATACATAATATGTGCTAATCTTGACAGTTTATCAATGCCCATTTGATACCTATGATTAGGAACACTTTGAGATACTATAGTTAGAGATCAAAGGTCTCTTGAATCTAATATTCTTTAGATTACTTTATCTCTTATTTAGTGTTCCTCAGATTTTATTTCTTTAACAGATGTAAAAGATAACAAAATAAGTTTACCCTTTATATATCATATACAAAATGTATTCTAAGGAGATTACATCAAATTTATTAGCTCTTATAGAACATTTTTAACACCTCTCTTAGATCCTACTTTATACTGAAGTATTGTTGGTGCCTTACAATATTTGACTTTTACCACATTGGATATGTCCTATGCTGTGAATTCTGTTTGTCAATACATGCCTGCACCTACTGATGCACACTTTCATTTGGTAAAGAGAATACTTAGATATGTGCAAGGTACCTTTAATTATGGCATTAGCTTTACCACTGGTCCTTGGGAATTATCTGTCTACAGTGATGCAGACTGGGCAATGGACATTAATACAAGGAGGTCTAACACTGGATTTGTAGTATTCTTGGGTAACAATCTAGTTTCATGGCAGTTTAAGAAACAAAGCTCCGTGTCTAGGAGTTCTATAAAAGCAGAGTATAAAGCCTTGGCCAATACTTCTACAAACCTTGCTTGGGTGAGACAAGTGAGACAAGTGTTACAAGATTTGAAAATTTATCTGCCTCAGCCTCCTATGATTCATTGTGACAACTTATCAGCATTAACTCTTAGCTCAAATCCTGTTTATCATTCAAGGATTAAGCATCTAGACATTGATTTTCAATTTGTGCAGGAAAAGGTGCAAAAGAAAGACTTAATTGTTCAGTATGTACCTATAGAAGAGTAGCTAGCAGATGTGTTTACCAAAGGTCTTCACAGCCCCATTTTCTTGCAACATTGTACAAATTTGAGAATTGGAACATATGCTAGGGTAGAGGAACCATGCTAGGTTTGAGGGGGAATGTTATCTATAATCAATTAGTTAGATTAGTTATTGGGCCATGTGTTAGGCACGTGTTCTGTTAGAGTTAGCTAAGCTTGGTTTGTTAAGCTCTATTGAACTGATATAAAAAGGCTTTACATTATAATCTTGATTACGAAGCATTCAATTGAAAATCTTAGATTTCTCTTAATTCTATCTATCTGTTCTTACTCTTTCTACAATCTTCTATATTCTTCTTCATTCTTGTTGTATTGTTCATATGGGGGATTAATGAATTTATAACAGACAGAGAGTGCAAAACCATTATCATAACTCAATAGCGTGGAGATCGACGACGGAGGTTGCAACTATGGCTTAGTTGTGGAGGTCGCGAGTCGCGGATCGCGACGGTGGCTTCGCTTTGGAGGTCGACGACGAAGGTCGTGAGTATTGGCGGCTTGGCTAGGGTCTCACTAGGGTTCCAAATTTGAGGTTTAGCCTTGAGGTTGAAGCCAACTGCAATTGTAAGAGACAACTAAGAGGAGATGGGGTTAGGCGAGATGAGGTCGATAGTGGAGGTGGATTTTCTCTGAGGTTTCGTAGAAGAAAGAAGAAGAAGAGAAGAAGACCAGAGAGAGAAGATGATTTGAGAGAGCAGCTCAGAACAAAAACAAAAGTGAGAACAAAGCAATAGGCTTGTGATATGATATATTTGTAAGGGCTAGTTTTGTTGGCTTTAAAAAAAGGGGTCATTTGAAGAATGTTTAGTGGAGTCGGAGCCAAAGCCTCCTATTTCCCAAAAATCAATTGACTATGTCTGTTTATTATTCATGTTAGATAAAATGTTAGTACAATGCTTGTGTAAAGTAATGATTAAAATATTTTTTGTCAATAATAAGTAATCATTCATTCAAGCCTTTGAACTTCGTACTTACATATTTTCTTCATACAAGAAATGACATGTTTACTTACTATGAATAAGAGAAGTCATGAATCTTAGTTTTTGGAGTATTTGATTAAGGATTTTAACATGCAACCCACATAATGGAAGTCAGAATTGAAATTATTCAAATACTCATGTATTTGCAAACAAAAGAGAATAAGGAATTTGGATCCTTCTAATATCCATTTTTGATAGGTAAGGAATTTGAACCATGCCCATACTCATTTATGATAAGTAAATATGTCATTTGATATGAGGCACATATGAATCAAATATAGGACTTTGGTACATGAATACACAATTTTAACCACTACAAGTAGTTAGGGGTCATCATTTGGTTCATGGGCTCAAAGGCCAATGAGTGCCCATTCAACCCATTAAGGAAAAACCTGGCTTGACCGACCCATAAAAGCCCGGCCCAACCTACCCATACATAAATAAGGGTGTGCAAGCATCCCCTTCTTTTTTTTTTGTCATTCGTTGGGAGGGGGAGGGGGGAGACTATTATATTGGGTTGCCTCAAGATTGTCTCTTAAGTGAATCGAACCCAGGTGCACTTGAGGGAGGGGAGAAAGAATTTGACCTACTTTTCCACTATGGTGCCACCCCATGTTTGGTGTGCAAGCCCCGTTAACCTACTTCAGTTTGTAAAAGCCCAACCTGACCTGCCCCAAGCCCTATAATTAGGGCAGCCACTATTCACGTGAATAGTGGCTGCCCTTGCAAAAAGCAATTTACGTTTCCAGCAGTTGCCCTAGTCTAGGGCAAATACTATTCATTTTTTTGTTTTTTTCACAAATTTGTTTACTTAAATAATTAATTTATATAATATTTTCGGATAAGATTTTTGGGTTCCTACGTGTCAATACTATTCATATCTCATAATCGGATAAAATTTTCGGATAAGATTTTCGGTTTCAAAATTCAAAATTTAGATACATTTCAAAATTCAAATTTCAATGAAATTTCATCTGAATTTCAAATTTCATATAAATTTCATTTGAATTTCAAATTTCAGATAAGATTTTCACCCTATAAAATTGCGCCACTTGTCATCCTTATTAGCCAAAATTTTTCTATAAAACCAGAGCCTCAATTCATACCTCTCACACCATATCTTCTCTTCATTTTCATTTCTCAGATTTTAGAATTCATACTCCAATGGCAGACATGAACGAGCTCTTGGAGAGGCAAATCCGAGAATTTAGAGAAAGAAGGCGTAGACGAGCTGCAGGCAAAAGGGCGCAGGCAGAACTGGATATGCAAATTGTCACAGCAGTGGCTATGCATGATGAAGAAAACTAGAGCCGCGGTGGTTCACGAGAAGGTCGTGGCCCGAATGTGGATAGACATAGACATTCTCGGGGTAAGAATCTTATGGAAGATTATTTTATCCCAACTTCTCTGTACTCTGATGTTGATTTTCGAAGGAGATATAGAATGCAACCCCATTTGTTCAATAAAGTCATGCATGATATTTGCAATTATGATGAATATTTTGTTCAAAAGAGAAATGCTGCTGGAAATTTGGGACTGCTTCCCGAGCAAAAGTTCACAGTTGTTATCCGAATGTTGGCGTATGGCTCATCTGTTGATCAAGTGGATGAGATTGCCCGGATGGGGAAGTCCACTATTTTAGAGACCTTCGTGAGATTTTGTGATGCAGTCGAAACTCTGTACACCAGGGACTACCTGCGCAGACCTACACCCAGGGACTTGCAACGGCTTCTACAAAAAGCCGAAGAGAGAGGATTTCCAGGAATGATTAGTAGAATCGACTGCATGCACTAGCAGTGGAAGAATTGCCCGACCGCTTGGCAAGGCAATTATGGGAATCGAAAAGGCCAAAAATATTGGCTGTCGTTGGATTGGAGAGAGAAAGGAGATCGGAGCTCCCAGACGACGCCACCTGCCCTAGAGCCGTTGGGCGCGCACAAGGCTGACGTCAGCTCCCCCTAGTTTTGGATCTAGGGCTGGACTTGCCCTCGGGCCAGCCCAACTTCGTGGCCCCCACAAGCAACTTGGGCTAACCCTTGCTGCTGGAGCCCGTTTTTCTCCCAAACCCCACTAGCCTGTGTCCAAAACCCTCTGCTGGACTTGCCCTTAGAAGCACGTCCATCTTTAATGACAATAATGTAGTTGGTTGGTTACAAAATGTAACCATGGTTGGTTATTGCCTTTGCTGGCCATTATGGTCGCCGCATTACCGTGGTCAACGAAAACCCCAACCTAGCATTTAGCCACGACTCTGTGTGCACCCTGCAAACCACAACCCCAGTGAAAAACAAAATAATCAAAACCCTAAGCTCCAGATGCTCAACCATCCCAAAGCCTGATCTCTACGATTCATTTGATTCAGGCAAAGGTAACTCTCTCTCACTCTCACTCTACACTCTACACTCTACACACTACACACGCGCGTCTTGTATCTTTTTGCTTCATATAAAGGTGAATCGTTATATATCTATGTGTTTGTATGTATATTTGTGTGGGTGTGAAGTGAAACTGCAGCGGTTAAGCTTATATGCTGCTCAATTATGACTAAAAAGATAAAAAGTTATTAACTTGTTGTCACCAAAAAGTTATTGGTGACAACAAGAGTTTTTTGTTTCCTGACTGATTTTCGTTCTATTATTTGAACGAATTTAACAAATTTTGAAGCTTGTAAGCATGTAATTGCTGCTTATTTTAAATATTGTAAGTCTGACTTACTTAGAGAGCTTTTCGAGTCACCCAGCCAACTTGCTCTGACTAATTTGTTCTCCTTTTCGCTTTTTAATTTGTGATGTTTGTTAGTAGATCATGAGGCGCAAACAAGCCTGCAGGGGAAGGGGAAGGCCACGAAAGAAACCCAATGTGGTCAGTGAGAGAGTGGTAAGTGAGAGAGTGGTTAATGAGAAATTGGTCAATGAGAAAGAAGTAGCATTCTTGAATTTTGTGAGTCAAAATGTTGAAGAAGGAAATGATATTGGGTGGAATCAATCTGATAACGAAGACCATAATGATGAGGAATTTGACCCTGAAATGGAGATTGATTCAGGTAATTCTACTTCTTCTTCAATGGGGAGTGACTGGTCGTACGGGGATCAAAATGTGAGCTCCATGGATAGGACCGTGCAGAGATTGCTTAGGAAGTATGGTGAAGTGAATCTCCAGATAGAAAACTCATCCAAGAAGATTGACGGTGCACAAACTAAGCCATTGCAAGTCTTTGGTTCTTGGAGTAGATTCCAGAATGAGCAAGAGGCGCCTTCGCATGATCCTTGCTGTAACAAAAAAGAATTAAGCGCTTCTCTGGCGGTATGATGGAAATTTTGTAATTGGTTTCTGTTGTGACATTTTGGTTTTAGAATTAGGTGCCTGTGTAGCCTTTTATACATTCATAAAAAGGGACAAAATGTTTTTTGTTTTCGAAAAAACAATTGAAGTGCTTCTAACCAGGCATTTTGTTGCGATAGTTTTTCCGACCAGATTATGCCTAATGTGATTGAACTTACTGCTGTTCTCACCTTATAGGTTATTAAGAGGGTTATGAAAATGGATGCAGCTGTACCTTTCAACATTCCTATGGATCCAATTGCTCTGAGATTACCTGTGAGTGTGATTTTCAATATGCATATTTTTTAAATATTTTTCTTGAGTGATAACATGATATGGTGATCATTATGATGTACCAGCTTTTTTGCGGGCATCTAATAGGAGATTGCAGTTTCTTGCTTCAAGTTTATCAAGTTACTATGTCAAACTATTTCTTTTGGGGTACAAGCTTGACTAGCCACTAAGCTTTTAAATTTAGTGGAAAAATGACTTGGTTGAATTCAAACATCATTTTGTTTTTGTAATAATGCGAGTCTTCTGCACTGACATGTTATGTATTTGTACATTTTTATATTAACTTTTTAATAACATACATTCAAAAAATTTAAGGAGTCTTTCATGTTCACAACTGCTACCATATATATGGTATAGCTGTTTTATTTTG